CTGAGTACGGTGATTGACGACTAGAGGGGGTGGGGGGGTCACAGTCACCTAGCGGACAATGCCATGCTGGTTGAATGGTGACTAGCGTTACCTTTACCTGCTAGAGACTAGGGACATTGCATTGGTCCACCACCAGGCTCATTGTACTCAGTAGCTATTCTGCATATTAACAGAACTATAAAGAATAATTGATCAGGATTAGTTAAAAAATGTTGAGTTACATTGACACCTGGGACAGATCACCATCATGTCACTACGGATTCAGAGTGTTTTTGATCCACCACTGAAGAAGTTGTATTATGTGTTTATGTTACTCTGACAGAGTCTACTCTTATCTATCTTGTGAGGCTGGATATTATGTTATCACCCACTGATAACCCCCTAATGGAACGTCTCCTCTAACCCCACCAGTGACAAAAAACAGCCATGTTTTATCTGGAGCCATCAAAGTGGTGACTTGCATCTTGCAGATAAGTAAACACACTGCAAGATTTGGATCTGTTGGGATGTTTGTTTCTTTTACTTTCTTTTATCATTTTAACGTTTTGTTGTTGGTTCGGTTCCCACGGTTCCCACATGGAACCCTGTCCACATGAAGTTTGTTTGTCCTGCCTATGTTTCTAAGGATTCCTTCCATAATGCAAAGGCATACCTGGTAGGTCTGGCCTTTGACAATCTCAAGGTGTCTGTCTGTATTGATATTGATGGGGCCTGATGTAAATAACTGACATACTCTGAATCACTGTGGTATTTTTTGTCGTTATCTAAAAGATTATAATGGGGCAATAGAGAGAATAATGTAAGATTTGTAATTTTGGTGGAGTTAAGCAGAAGTGGAGTTATCTATGATTTTTAGATTGTAAGCCCTCAGGGGCAGGCCCTCCTTACCATCTTGTCTTGAATTGTATTGTGATTGTAATGTCTTCATTATCTTTGTAAAGTGCTGTGCAAACTGTTGGCACTAGATATATCCTGAATAATAATAATATAATAATAATGTATTCAGTAGAGTAGGCAACCTTCTTCCATCTTTAAGAGCTAGCGTGGAGAAGAAAATGTTTTAAAGTACACACAAAAACTGAGCTTGAGTATCTATGGATGGCCACAGATGGGGAGATATCTCCACAAAAAGACAAGTAGAAATATTTGCTCATCATTGGGTGAGCTTTTGAAGCAATGAGACCCTTTCAAAGCTCTCACCTGTCCTTGATGGAGGTGCATGCAAGATACTTTGGCCTCTTTCCTTTTTCTCCATTGATAAGTGAAGTTTCTAGTTCACTCAGAGGGAGATTTGTCCAAATCTGGCCATCCGTCTACAGATCTCCTAATCATTCTATGTTTCCTCTGGCAGCTCATGGAGTTACAGATGCGGATGGATAATGACCAGATCCTGCTGGGACAGGCACAAGAGGACAACAAGCGTTTATACCGAAGGGTCGAAGAATTAACGTCTGAGGTGACAGCATTGGAGAAAAAGGTAAGACCTCAGCACCTGGCCAATGTGATACAGCTGTTATGGTTGTTGGGCTGTCACAATGCTACCAGTATAAAGTATCTTGGATAGTTAAGGAATGGATTAGGGAATGGATGGATGGACTTGTCAGGTGTTTTCACCTGTCTGTGTGCCATTAGGGAGATTTCCCCCTACTTCCTCTAAAATGTGATAATTTCCCTCTTAGTTGCTAACTTTAGTTAGCTAACTTTACTTGAGCATGAGTATCACGTACCTGAGTGGAGACTGGAAATGTGAGGAGGCCTCCCTTGCACTTTGTGTCCCGAGGCCTCTGGGGATGAGTACAGAGACCAAGTGGACAACAAGTGGCATGAGTGCCACTGTTGAGGAGCACCGTGCAAGCCGAAATCCAAGTAAACGAGCCGGGGTCAGTTCCAATAGGGCAAACGAAGTACAGAAGGGTAAGGCAGAAGAAAAGTCCAATAAACGAATCCAAGGTCAAGGGCAGGCAACAGGCAAGAGTAGTCAAATCAATTCCGGGTCTCAACAAGTCAAACAGAATATCACGGAGCACAGGAACAGGGAGTAGCTGACGATAATCCAGCAATCTGGTAGTGTTCAGGATGGGCTTATATAGGGGAAGTAATGAGTGAGCTAGGCAACTTCTAGTGCGCCTCCTTGGCGATTTTCCGCTTTGCGGAAATAACTTGTCTGCGCATGCGCGGGTTAGCGCGTTTCTGTGCATTACGAGAATGCGCCCTTTGCACATGCGCAGTTGGCGCGGAACTCTTACAATGAGTCTCATTTAACTATACTGTTTGTCTGCTCTAAATACCCCTGGCCAACACCCTGTTTGCCATCTGAAGACAATTTTGAATTGCCAGAAGAAGGAATCTCTAGGGTCTTACCATAATCCAAACTCTATCCCTTACAAGTTTCTTGGCTGTCCCTCAGCTGTGTGGGCCTGGAGAAAATGCTCCCTTCATTAGCACAGTTCTGAGCACATAGATGTTTCAGCTCCTTCAACCTTCAGGGAGAAATGGAAAATAGAGATTGAAGGGAAAAGCCATCAGCAAATCAAATGTGTTAGGCGCGTTCAGCTAATTTGGGAGGAAAGCTTTTAATGGAGTGCAAAATGAATGTGCGAGATGTTCTTGGAGATCAGCACACAATGTTCCAGCAGCCTTTCCTTCAGGGAGAACACTTCTCCTTTGATCTACGAAGAAGAGGGAATTGTCCAAGGGGCTGTGTTGTTAGTGAGGTCATAGAAATGTCAGAAGAGTAAGCACTCCACAATGTTAAAGCCCAATTCAAGGAGTTTGACCTTAACTCATAACATTTCCACTAGAAGTGATATTGAAAAGTAGAGCAGTAAATGGTGCATGCATTCAAATGAACACTATTGCATCGCACAAATACATGTATCTCGCATGGTAAAGCCTGCATTACCCCAATGGAATTTTAATATTTTTCCATATGCCCTTTTTACAATCCTTAAAAAAGAGACTGGATGTGTTTTCAAATGCACAAAGTATAATTGGCTATTAATATTCCTAAGTAATTATTGTAATAGATTGTTGATCCAGGAAGTATCTAATTGCCTTAATAGATCAGTAAGGATTTTTATCCACGTTGGAGCAAATTGGACCATGCTTAATAATGATTTTACGCCTTCCTCTGGCTGGTTTACAGTTCTGAGGATTCAGGTTTTTTAAATGTATTTATGTATTTTGGTTTAACTGGATTGACGTGTATCTTTTTCCAACCTATGTATATATGATAGTTGAACATTCACATACTCGTAGAGATACCTTACCACTAGAATCCCTTAGAAATTCAAGAAGCCAGCTTGTGAATCTACTTGCCAGCAATCATACAAAATAAAAAAATAAAAAGAGTACTTGTAGCCCAGAGCAAAACAACTATCTGGTTATATTCTAAGTAGCGGAACAGCTATGTTACCTATGGAACCTGTAAGGGCCCTACATTCGTAACCACATAATTGTTGGAACACAGCCTGTATAGCAAAACGTATCATGGCTAATATGTATGCGAGATTTCCAAAAACAGGAAGAGCAATCTGATTTTGCTTTATTATTTTAATATGCTTTTGAAGGTTCTCAATCATCCAGGTCATGGTATATCTGTAAAAAATAAATCAAAGTAACTGAACTTGCTGTATTTTTCTTGAAGCGAACATCTTCAAGAAAAATACAGCAAGTCCAGTTACCTTGATTTATTTTTTTTACAGATTTATTATTTTAAGCATTTTAGTTTTGTAATGAACTATAGGAGGAATGAAAGTTTAGTATTTATTCAAAATGGAAAAGTGATTGCAGTGCTGTATTGTGGCTCACACAATTATTTACAAACAATCTATGGGTAGGCAACCTTTGTACTCCAACTGTTGTAGAACTACAAGTACAATAAGGCATTGGAAGACTAACAGGCACAGGCATGTGGGATTTGCAGTTTCACCATGGCTGGCATGCTGCGGTTGCCTACACCTAAACTAACACAATCATATCCCCTAATGAAATATGTATGGCCAGCATAAGCCTATGCTGGCAGCTGCATGGAGTTCGCAATCTGGACACTGCTTTGTGTCTGACTGTGCAGATAATTATTCCAAATGGCTGCACCAAGATTTTATTAATAAACTGTAACATTAATCCAAACAAACTCAGGTGAAATGTTACTTTATCCATTTAGTGAACTGCTGCGTGTTCAAGAGCTTTTTTTTTTTCTTTCTCTATACAGCTTGCCTTTAAGCAAATCAATGATTTTAGAGTATTCCAAATTCTCAGATCTAAGCCCCTACCATGGTAAGCCAGGGTGTTATATTTGGCAGCTATTGAATAATGACAAAGCTTTTATCTTGGAATCTAGGACAGCTCGTATTTTTAGAATGGCAACAAGAACAAAAGTTTGCCGAGTAACTTTTTAATGAAATGCGGAATGCAGATTAATTTAGGTCATTCCCATAATATGCGCCAGGTTTGTAAACCAGGGCAACCTTCTGGGGCGTACCTGCCTTGTCTGAATCTCTCCCCCTTTGTACTGGGGACACAGAAACTGAATTTTGGGTCTGTAAAAGATGAAAAGTTATGTACGTGGGGTGTCTGAAAAATCTGTAAAGAAAAGTTTCCAAACTAGAGTTAGGGAGAGGCAGATCACTGCATAAGAGCGGTTGGCAAGGAGATCTCTACCCTGCCTTGAATAAGTCACTGTAGGGACTAAACCTGGAGGGATGGCAGGGGACATGCTGCTAGAGGACAGGGGACATGCTGCTAGAGGACAGAGGACATGCTGCTAGAGGACAGGGGACATGCTACCATCACAGAGAAGTGACAGATCAAGCCTTCTTGCTGGGGGAGCATCCCACAAGCGGGAAAATCTCTTTGTATGAGGTGCTTATTTTTAGAAGATGGATAGTGACAATAATTCATCAAGCAGCAATTGCAGCAATATAACTTAGAGTCTAACTCTAGGCTAATTTAAAAAACAAAACAAAACAATTGTCCCATAGCAGTAAAAAACAAGAAAGGCCGCAATTTCCACCGCAAACTTTCCTCAGTCCTGAATGATGTCAACTTGGCAGACTCAGGACACTGTGATTGCAGGGTGTCAGGGGCCTGTCCCTGGAAAGGATGTCCCCAAAGTGCACTTCTTTCACAACATACTGATGATGAGAGAGATGCTGGAGAATATCAGAGGAAGAGGTCCCAGCATTCTATGTGCTGACAAAAGTAAATGTATTGCATAAAGCATACCATACAAATGGGGTGGGGTCTTTCAGAAGGGCGTCAATTGTGCTGAAATGACGTATGATTATAAACAATATTGATATGCGGCTCTGAAGTTTAAACCTAAAAAAAAAAATGTAGTATGTTACGGCTTACCAGTCCTTGGATGTGGTGGCCAGAGGCATATCTACAACAAATTGAGCCCCTGGCGTCCCATCCAGCTCCTGGCAACCAGTGACATCCCCACCCGGCTTTTAGCAACCCGGTAAGCTCAGTAGTTGTAGCTGTAGTTGCTAAAAGTCAGGTGGGGAGATTTGTATGGCCCTTACACACAGGGCCGGCCTTAGGGGTGTGCGAGCAGTGCGGTCGCACAGGGCGCCATGGCAACAAGGGCGCCGTGCGGCCGACACAGCTCGTCCTGGGGGCGGCTTCTCTCCCCCTCACCGCTGGGCGCTGGCCATCCGATATGACAGCGCTACCGGCCCTGCTTACACAGCTGCCAGTCTGGTTCTTAGCAACATGGGAAGCTCTGGCTGGTGTGCTAGCCAGCTCCTGGTAGCCAGTGAGGCTACTGGTTGCCAGGAGCTAGGTGGGACACCAGCCAGAGCATCCCTGGTTGCTAAGAGCCGAGTGCGGTGATGTGTATGGGAGAGAAGTGAGTAGAGAAAAAAAGTCAGCTGTCCCGCAGGTAGGTGAACTTGCTGACTCGCTGACCAACGCTGCACCACCCTCCCTTCTAGTGCCACCCAGGGCATGTGCCATACCCTGGATACGCCATTGGTGTTGGCTGTATATATACACACAGGGTCTATATATATACAGTATATATATAATTTAATATAAAGAGTATGTATTTTCTTTATTAAGGACTAGAAAGTGTTATTATTTAATGTCAGCCAGGTAAATATAGAATATTTAATCTCAGATATTTCAGATTGATCACTGACTAGCTCTCAAGTTAAAAGACCAGATTTCTTTATGGCCAACATTGTGCTACAGACCCAAATAGCAGGGAGATCAGATTGCATAGACTGCAGGGTGAGTCACAAAGGAGAGTCACACCCCTCCCTCTTAGTTGTCTTTACAGAGGTTGCCAACAAGCATGCAGGCAGTGTTGGGTTCTCTTATTAGGGACTGAGTGTCACAGTGGCGCTTAGTTGACTTGTAATGTGGATATTTTATATATATTATAGATATAAAACATCAGTTTATAAACCTAAAAAATAAATCAGATGACTGCTAACTCTTAATGCTTTCCTATTCAAAGTATCTTCTAGT